ATAAGGAACCTGCCTCCCTAGGGGGCGCTGTTTCACACTAGAGCAGCACTGTTCCTGACTTGCAAACACCGAAAGGCCCAGCCCGGCCACGCTTGCAGTGCCCCTTCTATGACACACGATATTATCTGTCATAACTCTGACCCAGCCAATGTTGGAGGCTTGGATTCCAGGTACACTACACATTTACAAGAACTATTTCCTCAGAGAAAGGAAGCTGTGGTCACATAAGTAAGGAAGACACTTGGTTAAGTGATGCCAAACTTTAAAAAAGACGTGAGAAGGATATGGGATTGCAGCACACCACAAAACCTACAGAGCTTCTCAGGTGACAGAGAGATAGCTCTCCAATTGATTTTAATATCCCATTAAAGCCAGCCAGCAAACCAGGGAATCTATCGTCGGCAGTAATGAAACATCCCTCTGGAGACTTGGCCTTGGTACAATAAATAGAAGAGGGCACTTCTGTCTATTAATTCAGTTCACTGTGGCCATTAATAGGAATATAGAATCAGATTCCTGAAAACACTGCACTTGAGAGAAAGTCTTCTGTAAATAAATAGAAGTGAAATGCAATATGATCGGTTTTATTGTATCAGATATTTGAAGGTAAACTAAATGTGCTCTTGCAGTACTTAAAAACACATTGAATAAATAAATGGGAATTTTCAGTATTATGTTCAAAACAGTTGTTTGAGATAAAAGCATAACTATTAAAGAGAAGGAAGAGAAAAGAGGAGTAGGATTTGACCTTCTCCAGGGCATGGGGAAAACCAAAGTTCTCTGGCTCTCAAAAATGACCCCACAACATAAAAGATGTACATATGCCTAATTCAAGCATTCTGGTCATAATGAGTTTGCGTACAGAAATACCATAATATGGCTAATGTTTGGTCAAATTTATGTACAGTATGCCAAATGTGCTATTAAATTTAAGAGGCTGAAAAGAGGGTATGTATATTTGATCACTACATGTGGAAGAATTTGTCATGAGCTTATGTCAGAACTTTATTCTCACTGACATCATCTACTGGAAAATTTTGAACACTAGTCAGGATTATGGCACATGACTTAAAGGTTTTGTGAAGACAAAAATGAAATTGACAGTCATCTTTGGTATTGTCTGTAGATCCAAAATCCACGAATATTCACATCCTTTATGTGAAATTGAACAGTATTTTAACTTACACACACTTCCTCATATACACTTTAAATAATCTCTAGATCACTTACAATACCTAGTACAATGTACATCCTTTGTAAATAGTTGTTAACTGTAGTCTTTAGAGAATGACAAGAAGTTTGTATATATTCAGAACAAATGCTATTTTTGTTTCTTAATATTTTCAATTGTTATTGATTGAAAATAATTTAGGACTTGTGGTTACAGAAGGTTGACCACATACATATGTTGAAAAACAATGACGTTAAAATTTGATTGCAATTTACAATAAAAACATATCAAATAAGTGATAAAATATTTAATATTACCTCCTACATGAGGGTGAAGGAACTGTTTTGCTTTAGACTGGGGAGATACGTTTGCACTGAAGCATTGCAAACATAGCTTAAAAAGGAGGTGAATTCGATTTTTAAGTTCCTGTTACATTTCCCATCTGCCTAGCTCTGGGATTGACAACTCTATGAATCAAACGATAAAGAGATAGAGAAGGTATGAAAGGAGATGAAGGTATTTTTCAGTTTTCTTTTTGGGAAAATGAGTCAAAGGCCCTTCTATTCATAGGAATGGGAAGGACAAGAACAGGCTTTATGGGAAAATACTGTCAGTTCAGTCTTAATATATTAGAGGTCGAGAAACTAATCTGCTACCAAATAGATACGTGCACTGTTTCTCAGGAATGAGATGTTAGGAGGAGATATCGATTTGAATGTCATGAGCTATAAATCATTTTTGAAGGTACAAGAGTAGAAGAGTTCAACCGTGAAAGCTATTAACAGAAAAGAAAAGAAACTTAACAAGCGATTGTGTGAATGCTAAATCCTGGAAGAGAAATCTGGGAAAAGGAAGGATCGGGAGAAGAAAAGGAAATGTTCAGTATAGGACGGACATGATTACAGGCTAGGTCAGGAAGGCAGCAAGATGGTTTATCCATTCATGACAGAAATTCCGGCTGAGAAACTCATGAGTGGTTAATCAATAAGGCCTTTTGCCTTGAACACTGAACATGGGTTATTGAGCAAGAAGATAAACTAACCAACAGGTTACCCCCACATCCTACTTCATCCTGAATCCTGGGATTTTTATAGTGTGTGTGTTTCTTTTTCTCTTTTTTCATCAGCAAACTTGAACCTTGTGTACAAGGCTGCTTAAATCTCCCTTGCGTACTAGAAAGGTGTCAAACTAACTCCCCTGTATTTAGTTTTTTTGTGTGTGTATGGTAAGCAGCAGGCAACTCAAACACCTTTGTCAAGTGGTTCACTGAAAACCAAACAAAACAAAACAAAAAAAAAACAACAAAAAAGAGGAAAATTGTGATCACAAATGAAAGAGTAACTTAATCAGCCTGCCAGCTCTTTCTTTTCCTTGAGGAAATTCACGGACAGAGAGGACCCACATAGAGAGTAAGCTATGTGTGTTAAAACTTGGGGAGACAGAAATTTATTCCCAGAATATGGTTGAATTTGATTTTTATCAGCCAGGTGGCCTTTGATGAACACTATTATTAATAATCAATCAAAGAGTTGTACCAAGACCTTCATTTCATTCGTTCATTTATATAAATGAAAGAAAAGGTATAGACACAATGTCCTTGTATTTCAGAAAGGTACAAACATTTCTTAAGACAAGAGATGGAAAATTGTTTCTTCCATAACAGAATATTTAAATAGATTTCAAATTTGTTCTGTGATGTTTTGTTTTGAATTAGAGGAAGTTTAAAATAAGTGGAATCAGTAACCATCAACACTTTTCCACTACAGAGTTAATACAATGTTGCTTGTCTGGAAGGTCCCGAATTTGTCATTCAAACTTCCCCTTCCCCGTCTTCAGATCTTCACATTAGCTTGATTCATTAACTGTGAGACATTATTGTAAGGAATAGGAATGGGGAGCTTTATTTTATTTTTTTTCTTTTGTGGCACTGGGGATTGAACCCAGATCCTTTGCACTGAGCTACACCCCCCCAGCCATTTACTGATTGGTTAATTGACTGATTGATCAACAATTTCTCCTTAAGTCACTCAATTGCCCAGTCAGGTTTCAGCTTGCAGTTCCCCACCTAAGCCTAAGAAGCTTGTGTCACTTGCCAGCTCATCACTGTCAAAAATGCTGTCCTTCACGTACTGTGAAACACAATTCATACAGAAATGACACACACAGAACCTTACTATACTAACTCAATCTTCCTTGCTTCTCCTCATAGTGGAACAGGTGAGCCTTCCACTGAGGGCCCCAATGAGGAAACATACAAGCAAGCAAACAATCAAACCTAATAAGCTCACCCATTCCTTAGGGCTTCGAGTGGGGAGCAATGATAAACAGAGGGGATAGACAGACACTGACTCGGAAACGTGTCTCTGGAGATACTCCTTTGAAGTGTTCTTCCTAATTATTTGGCTCATTGAATCTCTACAGCAGCCTCTCTGAAATTCTCCTACTCCTTCAACTTTTTATCTAAGACTCTTCAAACTTTTGATACAATCTTGTCGACTTCAACCACGCCACATGCACATTTTATGCACAATTTCAAAAGCAGGCTGCTTCCTCTTAACATGGACTACAGAAACCCCATCTCACGATCAGGGGAAATCTTTTGAAGAGTCTGAATGCTAAATATCATTTCTAGAAGTTAGAAAAAAATCATAGGACATACAGAACTGCAACTCTCAAAATCTAGTATAATCTCTATGTTCATTTTACCTTTTAAAATTTCTACTGGCTGCATTTCATATTTTTAACTTTATAGTTATAAATAAAAATAAATCCTTGCCATTTGATTAGCAATGTGCATGTCTGTGAGAGCACAGTGAGGATTTTTACCTGACGGACGGTTCCAGCAAAGGTTTCTAGTGATCAAAAGTGGGGGGAGAAGCAGAAGACACTGGATCGAATTGAACAGTAAATTAGTGTTCTTCTGCAGATGAGACACTATCTTAAGGGGAATGTGTGTTTGTGTGTGTGCTGGAAGAGAGAGAGAGAGAGAGAGAGAGAGAGAGAGACAGAGACAGAGACAGAGAAAGAAAATATGAAGGTGATTGAGAAATATGATGCCACATATGAATAATGCTGCTCACAGAGAATAGAGAAATAAAACATGAAAAAAGAGAAAATTTATATATTTGATTTTATGGAATAAAATTCAGGTATAATAAGTATTTCACATTAAAATTTAAGTTTAACATGCAAATAATAATTATGTATTGCAAATAGTAGGAATTTTTAGCTTCAAATACTTTCATTGATGTTTACTTGTTGCTTGTGAACAAGAGATTCACTGAAAGCAATATCCTAAAATATAGCAATAAACAAATGCTAGCACAATTTTTGAACTAAATAATTCCTAGTTTTCTTTCCAGTACGTAATTTTAATTGTATCAGTTCAGGTTTTAATAGCATTTCTGTCATTATAATAAACCAAAAACAAAAGCAAAACCAGCCGGGTGTGGTGGCACACGCCTATGATCCCAGCACTCGGGAGGCTGAGGCAGGAGGATCACTGTGAGTTCGAAACCAGCCTGGGCTACGTAGTGAGTTCCAGGTCAGTCTCAACTACACAGTGAGATCCTGTCTCAAAAACCCCCCAAACAGCAAAACCATGACATTATGCATTTTCTATTGTAAAAATTCACTCTGAGCTGAGAATGTTGACACACACCCGTGAGCACGGAGTCTGTGAGGCTGAGGCAGGAGGGTGGAGGATCATAAGTCTGATCCCAACCCAAGTGACTTTAGTGACTTAGTGAAACCCTGTCTCAAAAGAGACACATCACAGACTGTATTAAAAACTTTAAAATTCAGAGAGGTTAGAATGGGTGACACTCACCAATGTACAGCTTCCCACAAGATGGTTAATGGCTGCTGGGTGGAAAGGATCAAACTCCTCAAGATTTCCCTGAAAGAGAAAACAGGAAACACCTCTGAATTCACGTTATCTTCCAGGTATATTGTGCCAAGTCCAAGGCAGTTGAAAGATGGTAAATATTGGCATTTTATAGGTTAATAAAGTTGACAGATTGAGAAAATGGTAATCTGTATGAGTGTGCTGATCCTAAAATATTTCTCAGATATAAAAATTTACATTGTTAAAACACAACTTAAATTTTATGTATGAGACCTTGAACGGTTTGTTTCCGTGTTGTATAAGAAAATAAACCAGCCTAAGATTCCCTAATGTTATACTGTATTACCAGTTTTCCAAATATTCTCTCATAGACTCAGAAAGTCCATCAAATTATAAATTATTATCTAAAGAGCTCTAGCTTCACAGTCAAGTAACTGGGAAGTAAACAACTTCCAAATTAATAGCTAAGTTGTACACAAAAAACATTTGAGCCAGAATTAAGATAAATACTATACTATAAAACTTTCAAGTATCAAGGCAAAGAATACACAAGTCAGCTACTGAATAACTATCAGATGAATACATCTTAAAGCAAAATAATCTGTATTTAAACATATCGCTAAATTCACACATCTAACGGCAAAATTTTTTGAAGCAGGTGACAGAGAGACAGTTGTTCCATGAACACCTTAATGATCAGGCTGGTCATTTACTTCTGTGTTCCGAAGAGAACTGCAAAATTCCTGCCAATTACTGATCCTAAAGAAATGAGATTTTTACATCTCATCACAATTCCCACTCACTCTCCCTTTCCCGTACACACCGGAGCTTCTAGATTTCTTCCTAGAATATACACTGCTACCTGTTCAAATACCATTTATTCTTTCTAATGTAAACTCTAATCTCACTGCATCAATGCAGATATAAGTTGTTTAGAATTTTCCTTGTTATTCACAGGGCTTTTTGTAATACTATGTAACACAAGCTCCAGCATAGGTTTTTCATAATTTTACTTATGTGCCTACTTCCTTCAATAAATTTTTTAATTCAGCAATCTTATTTGTATATTATCCGTGTATTCAAAATCCAGTAATTTTTGGCTATTTCCGCACAGTAACCGGGAGGTTTGATACTAGCCCTCATGCCTAAAATAATCAATGTCAAAATCTCTATTGGTGGATAAAGGAATAATGTTGGTTTAGAAAGGAGAAACTTTTTCTCCTAAATTATTTAAAACACACACTGATAAATTATAGCTGTGTGCTTTTAAAGGGTGGAAAGAGATGCTATGTTTGTATGATGGATTTGGGGGATGGCAAATCATAATTATGGGCTAACGCCCATACATGCATTCCTGGGAACGTCCATGTATACGATGTGCAATCGTCGAGTAAGGTTAATGCAAACAAGAGACTGTTACTCTGGAGAGATTAACAAATGATTCTCAGACAGGACAAAAAAAATTAGGAACTACTTCATTTCACAGTCTTAGAAGTTTTTGTTATAACGATCTGCTGAGGTTATCAGAATAGAAGCAAAATAAGATTATGAATACCTTTTCCCCAACATACTCTAGATGTTCTTAGAATCAATGTCTTCTTATAAATTTTCTAAAAAGTAATGAACCCATTGCTTGCATATAGAATGAAACTATGAATGATTTCAAATGTAATACATCTATTATCTATATAGGGTTAAAATGGAGAGATTAGAATAGAAATCTGGAGCCAGGCATGGTGACACATGCCAATAATTTCAGCACTCGGGAGGCTGAGGCAGGGACATTGCTGTACGTTTAAGGCCAGCTGGGCTGCATAGTGAGTCCAAGGCCAGCCTGAACTACACAAACGATCTTGTCTCAAAAATAAAATAAAATAAAAATCTAAAGTTCTAAAGTTATTTTCTGGATAGTTATATAAACATTCAATATTATCAAAAATATTTGACAGTGTATTTGAGTTGAAATTGTGGAATTACCTAAACTACATTTGGAATGATTTTTATTTTATTTTTTTCCTCATTGAGTTTATTGGTACATTTTAGGTGTACAGTACAGTTACATTCATTATTGGGATCTTGTACCTTTACAAGGAATGATTTTTAAATTGGACCTCTATATTCATCTTTCTGTTCTTGAATGTATTAAGCATTTGTGTGCTGTATAGCCACTGAAAGACACAGCATCAGTAACGCCTGAAGATAATTCTGAGTTATTGTCCTACAAATTTCATATTTCCCTAAAACAGCCCTTTATTTTTCAATAATACAGTGATATTAAATGAAGGTAGTACTCAATGCTTATGCATGAGAATACATTTATGTTTTCCTTCTGGAAGTAGATTTGCATATTATTACATTTATTTTGAAAAGCACCTTTTATAGAGGTGCTTATCTTATCTTTGAGAGAGACGTAGTGGACAACATCTTCCTCTTGTAGGGGTTAGGACAAACGACCCTCGGGTTAGATTGCTTTCGGATGTTACACCATTTTTTTTTTTTTTCTGAAAAGAAGTTAGATTTTTTTTCTCTCTGCTTTTTAGTTTGACTTCCTGTTCTATTTTATTTCTACTGGGTTACATTATTTTCATTTTCTGAAGATTTAGATTTTGCTTTTAGCTTTCACTTGAAGAGGTGGAAAACAGACTAACACACACATAGGCGTGTGTTTTAAAATAAATGCTATTTTTGGATGAGCCAATTACTTATGTAAGATGTGCCATTGTAAATTTGGAAGCTGATTCACCATTCTTCATAGATACTAGTCATCTAAGAAAAAAATTCTACCAGCCTCAAAGTTGGAAATTTAATCCTATCCATGGTCACTAATTTTAATACTTCAAACACTGTCACTGACTATAAAATACACCACAAACACTAGCAGTTTAGGAGACACATGATACTGGAGAAAACAGAAATTTTAAAAAGTTTGCCTTCTCCAATTACAAAATAAATTATATTAAAGAGGATATTTCTGAGTTATAAGGGTACAATATTTACAGGGGAAAAATAAAAATGTTCATTTCTCTCTTGAAAACATTTTAGCTTTTTTAAAAATAAAAGAATATAGTGAAGAGATAATGAATGTTTATGACCTAATACAATATACCTAGGGCTGGGGATTTAGCTCAGTGGTTCCACCTTCTGCCTTGCAAGCGCAAGGACCAGAGTTTGATCCCCGGAACCAAAATAAATAAATAAACAAATAAAATACACCTAAAATGCAATATGCACGTGAATGTTTTTTGTGAATATCTTCATAAAAGATCGAAAATACAATCACATAAACCACTGCCATAAGTAAAACTAAAACTAACTATAGCTCCTTAGGATTGTATCTTTCCTATACTCTGAACTGATGATTTAGCCTCTGCTCGTTCCTCTAAATGTTTTCTTCAGCCTAAGTTTCTGCCTTTGATGCTCTTCCTTTCCCATCGGTCTCAGCGCCCTGGATCTAACCTTTTTCTCCAGGGTGACTCCAGCTCTGTCTCTTCAGATCCCCCGAAGCTCAAACTCCCCTCTTCCCCGCCTTCCAGTCCAGCCCCCTACTAATCACCGACCGCCACTTCCTCTACCCGCCCTGTGACAGCGACAGTCCATGACGCCTTCCAGATTAAAAGGCATTTGCTTTGTCGAACACGTAGGCAGCAAAAAAGTGATGATGGCAATACAATATGCTTTTCACTTTTAAATGTGGCCCTTTCTCAGGACCCAGAGTCGGCAACGCCATTTGTGCCTAAAAGGTAAGAAGATATTTGTACCTATTTAAATCATGGAATGGTCACATCAGACTCCTGCTGGCATAGGTTGAAAACAGGATTCTATGTTAGAAGTTCAACCCTGGAATCTGGCAGCCCACCAGCTGCTACTCACTGTGTATCTCCCAAATGGAGGCAGCTCAAAAAAATATCAAATTTACTAATTTTCGATGCAAAGCAAGGAAAGTTTGTATTGGTGGTATCCATATATTAGTCGTCACTCAGAGACCAGTAATTCTCTCTGAATTTCTGTGTCCTTGACATCCTAGACACACAAGTAGTAGCTTATTGACCGATGAATGATAACTAGTGTTACCCACCAGGCTTAATTCGATGGGACTTTTGATGGATAAGCGTGGATATACATTCTAAGGCCAATTTGCCCATGGACCGTAAATTTTACCAGCATTTAAGCAACACATTGAAGTGAAAACCCGCCATAAAATGTGAGCTGAACATTGAAATATGACACAGCTGTAGAAAGTGCACACACACACACACACACACACACACACATTTTTTTCCAGGATTCTACCCACTGCACAAATATATTTTGAAATGTAAAACTGGTATATTTACATTATGTTTAACAGCTGACTTAGGTCAGTTTTCCCATGGCAAGAGCAACAGTCTTCATTCACTTCTCAGCTCTGTCCTCTCAATGAAGGGTCTGACTTCAGTGGGTCCCCGTCCAGACTTTCTCCTCGCACCTCACACACTTTCTCGGAGACCCCTCCTGCCGACACTGAGGTATCTGAAGTTTCCCAGGGACCCCTTACTGACAGCGCTCACGCTGACGTAAACCTACTTTATCGTCTTTAACAGTGGGTGCCGTGGAGCGTCCCCATTGTCTGGCAGCTCCTCTCCTAACCATGGCACTGACTTTCTATCGCTTTCTCTGATGACTCTGATTCCTTCTTAATCTGTTGTCCACATGTATTTCATGATATGTTTTCTCAGGACTTCATCTTTGACACTAGGCCCTTTTCACGCTTTAGCACCTTGTGATGGCTTCATTATAAAGCCAGTATCAGAAAAACCTATTAATGAAAATCCATAACAAACACACACACACATACACACACATATATCAAACTTACTATTGGATATTTCTGCATGAATATCTGAAAGATATCTCTGATTCAATTTGTGCATATGTTCAATCACCTTTATTCCATTAATCTGTTGTTCTAGTCTCCATCTTAGTAAACAACTAATCAATAACATTTATTGAGAGTTTGCTCTGTTCCATAGTTGTAGTGCATAATATGGTTACCTTACAATATCATATAGATA